CCTCTGAGCCACCAGTATCCATAGCTCCTAGCTCTACCCTCAGAGGCTAAACTAAAAAGTATCGGGAAAGATTAGAATCTAAGGAGGAAAAGAGAAATATCTGTCCAAAATTGCTAAACTGTGAGGTTTAGCATCCTTTACCTGACCCAGCCACAGAACCTGTTTGTTTTTTATCCTTGCCATCTTACTTGGTTTTTGGTTTTTTTTTTTTTTGGCCTCTTCCTCTAGCATCTGTATCTAGGAATGGATAGAATTTCCTTTCCTCCAGAGAAACTGTACAATTGGGTTGACCTTAGGGAAAAAGTCAACTTTGAAGAGTCCTAGTTCAATAGCCTTCAGGCCTTTTGTTTCTTAGGAGCTTCCCTGCTCTGTGGAATTTCCCCCTCCCCGTTATTTTGCAAGAGAAAGGGTAATGTCTCTGGCCCTAGGCTTGAACCAAGACGGGGAGAGACAATCACCCTCTCTTATCAATCTTTCAGAACAAGCAAGACTGCTATCTATCTTAGATATTTTGGATAAAATCCTCCCTCAAGGAATAGGTTTGGCTTGATGACCTATATGGATTTTGGGACCTTACAAGTAGATGAGTCAGCCATCCCAACCACTTTTAGTTCGTGAAGGCCTTGGGAAGTTCCCAGGTCACACTAGGTGCATTTCCCCCTCTCCTTAAGCTATGTACTTATCCGTATCTTCAGCTCCCAAATATACAGTCAATATGTGTGTTTGGGGGTACAGAGAGACAGCAATAGGTAGAGACAGAGACAGAAACCACGAGTGAACACAAACACAAACACCCTAGTCATTCTCCTCTTCTCCTCACCATGGTAACAACCACCTCCACACTCCACACCAAAAACTGGCAAAGGGAGATGAGGAAACCAGGGACATTATGACACATCAACTGTCTTTTTTTTTAATTTTTTTTCTATTACCGAGCATTTCTTTTTCCCTTTCCCATCTCCACCTCCTTCCCCCACAAGGAAAAAAGAAAAACAAAACTCTTCTAACAATTAAGCATGGTTATTAAAAAAAATTCCATAATAACCATGCCCCAACATGTGTAAACCTGACTCTTTTCAAGGGATTAAACAGAGATAGTATGCAGAAGCCGATAGAGAACTAGCCTCAGAGACAGAAAGACCTGGATTCAGATCCTGCCTTTAACACAGACTGTCTATGTGATCACAGAGAAGTCACTTAGCTTCTTAATGTTCTCAACAAATTTCTAAGACTAGAAATTACAGAGAAGGTTTCCTCACCCAGGACCTCCCTGTACCAAATAAATCAGGGGTCCAGTTCCTATTCTATCCTTTAGGTCAATTAATTGAAGGGAGGGAAGAAAAGAGGATACAAGAACCCCCAGAACTGTTTGGCCCATTAAGATTGTTTTAGAGAAACTGAAATAAAGGAGCATTTCACTTTAGAAGAGGGAGGTTACAAGAGCACAGTTACAAGAGACTGAAAACCAGAAGGTGTTCAGGACACCTGAGTCAGGAAACCTGTCGCACCTGAGACGTAAGGGAGACATTCACTGAGCAGAATGGGAGAAACTACTGAGTCAGGGTTCAGGTGTCTGTGAGGAGAGTCATGTTGACTAGAACTAAGGGGTGGACCTGGAACCGAGATGGATGAGAAACTGGATTTCCTCAGTGACTAAGATTTTTAAGGGGAGCCAGCTCTGTCATTGTTCTGTGAAGGTAACTAGGAGGTGGAACTGCTGTATGAATGAGCCACGCTAATTGGAGAAACAAGCCGGGGCTTGTGATTAGCTACCTGAATAGGGGAGGGTGTGTTCTGGGACCTCCGCATGTGGTAATAGAGTTGGTTTTATGCTCCAAACAGCTGTATTAGAGAAGCTGGCGTAGGGAAGGAACACTATAGAAGAAGAGAAGAAAAGGGTGTATGTAGGCTACAGAATTTTATCTTCACCTTCACCATCATCAGTAATATTTATATATTATTTTTTAAGGTTTCCATAGCACTCTATAAATATAATCTCTATCCTCACAACAACCTTGGGGAACAGGTGCTATTTGTAGCTTCGTTGGTAAAATAAATAAATAAATGAGGAAACTGAGGCAAACAAGTTAAGTGATTTGTCCAGAGATACAACTAGCAAGCCTCTGAGGCCAGATTTAAACTTAGGTCTTCCTGACTCCAGGTCCGGCAGCACAAAGTTTCCCAAGTGCTAGAAATACTTTGAAATGTCTCTGCGGCTACTTCTGGCCCTGTTTCATCACAGCGTCCTCCTTCCTATTGGGACCCAAATTCCTATTTGAATCTGTGGAGATCTATCTCTTGAAAGCTACTATTAAAATAAACATTCATTATTTGGGAGAGGAGAGAAGGGCCCAGGTAGGAGAGGGACATGGGGACTTCATTTAATGGCCCCCACCCATCTACTCCTGATCACAGATTAGCTGTCCACCAGTATTTTTCCATGATAGAGGCCAAAGGTATGGTAGAAGGAAAACCTGGGGAAGAATGTGGTAGGGTTTCATAGTGGGGGCCTAGAACTGCATGAGAACCCAGAATTGATTTGTAGTGGCTCACTGGGATGTGGGTAAGCCTTGGGACCAGGCAGTGAGAGTTTCTTTTCAAAGTTCCCCATAACCTCCTGTCCCTTCTCTGTTTCCTGTTTTTTAATCTGGTCCTTTTCTCCTTTCATTCCACTGCCCTTTCTTTTTTCCTCTCCACAGATCTGCAAAATGGAATAAAGGTGTTACAGTAACTCTAAAATAATTTGGCAGTACTTTTTGTCTCCTTTATTAAGTAATGATTACGATGATAGACTGACAGACAGATAGATAGATAGCATTTACATAGTACTTTAAGATTTGTAAAGTGTTTTATATAGTATCTCATTTCAATCTCACAACCCTGTGAAGTGCTATTATTATCCCCATTTTCAAGATGAGATAAACAAATAATATTCACAGACAGCTTGGTTTAGGGGTCTTACCGCTAGGAAGATCTGAGTACATATCCTGTCCTTGAGATTTATTAGTTGTGGGGCAGCTAGGTGGCGGAGTGGATAGAGCACTGGCCCTGAAGTCAGGAGGACCTGAGTTCAAATCTGGCCTCAGACCAAACACTTGACACACTTACTAGCTGTGTGACCCTGGGCAAGTCACTTAACCCCAGTTGCCTAAAACAAAACAAAAAAAATTTATTAGTTGTGTGACCATATATAAGTCACCTCAGGGCCCTCAGGCAACTCCCTAAGATAATATAAGGTCTAGATGAAATGCAGATCTGTGTTGGTAGAGGGAGTTTCTACACTGGGAGTTCCCGATACCAATGAAATAACAACTCTGGATCAAAAAGGGACAAATCAAATAGTATAGTACTATACAACTTTTTAAAAAAAATTATAGGTTTTTAAAAATATATTATCTTCACTTTCAAATATATCCCCTTTCTCTTCAGAGAGGGTCACCCTTAGTAACAAAAACTTGAAGAGAGGAAAACAAGTTCAACAAAACTTGGCCAAACCTCAGCCTAGTCTCCCCAGGCATGCAGCATTCCCCACCCATAGTTTCCTCCTCCTACAAAAAAGAGGAGGGAGGTACATTTCCTTCTCTCTTTCTCAGGGCCAGGCTTAATTATTACAACTATCCAGCATTCAATTTTTGAATAAAAATAAATATTTAATAAAACCACATCAGTGACACAAAAATCAGAATTTTAGGTAGAATCAGATATAAGGGACTTTAGAGAGTCTCTAAATAAAGTTTTTGATGCTAGTTCCAACCCCCTTATTTGGAGATTAAGAAAATTTCTAGAAAGGTGGCTTAGCCAAGGTCACATGGTTAGAGGCAGAATTGGGACTCCTTACCTCCGGGGCTGTTGACCTTCAACCTTGCTGCTATCTCATGCTGCCTTACTGTTCCCCCTAAATAAGTTTGCTTGATGACTTTGAAGTCTTCAATGCTTCCAGAGATTTGTGATTTCATCCAGGGGTATACTCCCTTTGTGAATCATAACATTATGGAGGTAGGACTGGAGACCATCTTGTCTGAACCTCTCATTTAGCAGATGAGGAAACCAAGGCACAGGGGAATAAAGTGATTTGCCCAAGGACACCCAGGCAGTAAGTTATGAAAAGTGAGATTTGAACCCAGATCTTCCAACTCCAGGACAACTTGCCCCTGAAACAGACTAGAACTTCTTAGTAAGTGTTGTCATGAGTTATGGTGGCTGAAACATACATCACCTACTAGTCTTTTTTAAGTGATGAGAATGTCCTCACTTACTTTGGTCTTTAGACAAGACCCACATCAGGTCCAGACTCAAAGCCCTTCCAATATTGGTAGTCTTGTCCACACTTTAGGCTCTGCTGTCATAGTTTTAGTTAACTCAGGGCATGCTGTTGTTGTTGGTGGTGGTTCTTCATTCTCAAAGAGACCAATGACATCATAAGGGTGATGTCTTCACTTGCAAGTGAATTGGATTCAAGTGAGGCAGGGCTGTACAAAGTCATCAGCCTCACTCTCTCCTCCAGAGTCATCAGAATCCAGTGGCAAGATATAAGTCAAGACAACTGGTGATGGTTTCGGGTGCAGTGAGTGACCTTTACCTTTCTAAATTGAGCTCTTTCCCAGGCTTCCATGCCACAATAAGGAGAAGGCAGAATATACAAGAAATAAGCACCCAATGGAAGGATTATTCTGTGTGGTCTCTTTCACTACACATTCCCCCAGCCTCCTCTCTGTTCCCAATATCTCCTTTCTCTGTCGCCGGTCCCTTACAGTAATAAGTATCTCTTTCTGCCCCACATCTTAGGAGAAAAAAAAAAAAGAAGTAGAAAGAATGAGGGAGGGAAGGAGGTATGGGTACAGATTTGAGTCAAGACCTATGATGTTGGCATAGGGAACTCTCCATGAGTAACTCTTACTACCAATAAATACCAAATCAACACCAACCTATCAGCAATTTATAGTATTAGTGAATTGCCTGGAGCATTAACAAGTTAAATGACTTGCCCGGGGTCATACAACCTGTATGTGTCAAAGGTGGGCCTGGAATCTCCATCTTCTTGACTCTGAGGATAGCTGTCTTTCCGAGTTCCTCTCCTTCTTGTGTGAAAGAAGAGGAAAGAGTGAAAAAAGGAAGAGAGGCATGAGAGTCAAAGATGGCACAGAGGAGGGTACTATGCTCCATGACTCCAGTAAATTAAAATGTTAGAAATAAAAATGAACTTTGGTTGGTTGTTGTTTTCCGAGGTTTTCTTATAAATAGAGAGAGGAAAGATGGGCCCCATGCCACACTCCTTGGATATCCTCCTTGCTGTTCTGAACTTCAGTTTTCCTTTTTCTTTCTTTGTTTAGAAAAATCTCTGGTTTAAAAAAATACTTCAATTCTTTTTTTTGTTTGTTTTAACTTGAGATTTATCTTAAAATAGGGGGAGGAAGGCTGACGTTCAGAGAGTGTGGCAAGGCGCCCACTAAAGATAAATGTAGTCTCCTTTGCCATTTCGCAGAAGGCCAGCCCTGTCTGGGATTTTCTGGTTTCCCCTGAGCTGTTTGCTGACAGATAAAGGAAGGTGGGTGTCTGTGGGGAAGAGTGGATGATGTTCAGATATGACTAAAGACCCTACAAGGACAATCAGGTTCTTCCTCTTATTCTTGCTTAGGAAATGAAAGCATTTCTTGTCTGGAAGTCACCAGCACTAGTCACATGCTTCCTGGCCTATTGTCTCCTCTGAGTATAATCTTTATCATAAACACTATAGTGATGATCAGGCTCACAACGTCCTTGTATTATGGAAAAGTTTATACTTCCAAGTCTTCTCTTCTTGTCCAGGAAGGTTCCTCCTCTGCTATTAACCACGTAGCCCGGAGAAGAGTTTTCCTTCAGGTGAGCGTTTGTTCTCGTGTTCTCAGCGTGCTCATATTGGAGAGACTCGGGTCCCTGACCTCAGAATTTCCTTTCGGAGAACATATTGTTCTCCTTGAAAGGGTCAACTTCCTCTGCAGAAGCCTAGGCCAGGGGATCCTACCAAGCCTTTTTTTTTTAACTAATCGACATCTGCTTGCTCCAAATGTAGGATGTACATTAGGTCATGGGGTATCATTGTACTTGATAACTATGATGAACTCAAATATGGAGCCACCATTTCCTCCCAAGATTCCCTTGTTTCCATTCTGGCTTCTCAGTTTTTAATCTGAATTATGTCCAGAATTACACAATCCATTATTTCTTCTTTCATTTTTGAAACTCTGAAAAGCCAGTCAAGAATTTATTAGCCAGGGGAGAAATTTGTTTTGTATAACTATACATATTTATAGTGAGTTGGGAAAGAGGGAAAGAATTTGGAAATGAAAATAAAATAAAATTTATTTTAATAAAAGGATGTGTTAGCCACATCAGTTTCAATAGATGAAACATTTGAGATCAAGTTTGGGGGATTGTGAGTGATCAGTGATGTATGCAAAAAATTCGGTATGTCACCAAAGGCATCATGACCCAGTAGATAAAGAACTAGCTTCAGAGTTAGAAGTCCTGGGCTTGTCTCACCTGTGACACACTTTGATACAGATGAGACTTTATGTTCTTGACCTCTTTGATACAGCTGTCCAATAGTAGAATAGCTAGGCCAAAGGTTCAGTGCTCTTTTAAACACACACACACACACACACACATGTGCACACACATACACACATATTTCCTGAGTGCGTGTATATACATGTGTATGTATGCACATGTACACACAGGCACCAAAGGAGACATATTCACGTGCTCACCTCACATGCTTGTTTCTGTATCTGTCATGGAAATTCACAACCAGCTGAACATCTTGCTTTATGTGCTTATTACTTTTTTTATGTTTTTTCATTATATTTGAGCAGATGTAATTTGGCTGATTCATAATTTACCAAATATGAACATTTGTCAGGGTTATTTCCAATCACTCAGGAAAATGTGCCTTTGTGTATTTTGATTATTTAAAGCAATTTTGCTGCCTTAATACATGTGTGCCACCAGCACAGCATGACTACCTTGACTGAGGGTATGGGAATGTGGTTAATTTTCTTTTATATGTATGTAGAAAAGCTTTGGGTTATTTAACCAATGTTCAGAGAGTGCTGTTGTGTGTGTATGTGTTTGTCTGTGTGTGTGTGTCTTAAGGAAGCAGGGGGCAGAAGAGGAGGAAAGATTAGCTAGTGCCCACATTAATTTCTTTCCCCACCTAGAAGTAGAGATTTGATGCAAAGGAAGATTGCAGAGGTGATTGTTTACACTGTGTTTATCATTATATAGATAACCAAATGTATAATGAAGCAATTTTCTAGATCTGAAATCTTGAAAATTAGAATGACTCTTTATGTAAAGCCTTTACTCAAATACCCAAATGAATCTGTGATCTCTTGGTATGGGTTCTCCCTCCATTGAAGCCATTCATGCCTGCCCATTCTGTGGGTTTGGGTTAGGGTTAGAGAGGGACTGGAATTGGTACCAATGCAGATCAGCACTAGTTAAAGTCACAGAGAGTTGCCTAGAGCACTGAGAATTTCAGTGACTCTCCTGGGGTCACACATAGGGTATATGCCAGAGGTGGTGCTTGCACCCAGGGCTTTCCCTCTCTGCAACCAACTCTCTATACACTATGCCACATTTCCTTTTTTTGAGTACTAGAAAAATTTATTTTGAAAAAAATTGCTGTATCAGATGATAGAATTCCAGGATAAAATATGAAAATATTTATCACAATTTATTTAAATAACTTAATAGCTTATAGAAACTTAATAATAACTTAAAGACAACCTGCAGTATAGAATAATAGAGGCAAAGAAATATGAAGGGCCATGGGGAAAAGGGCCTGGGAGATTGCATCTTTTTTCATTAAATTAACTTTTTTCAATTAACAAAAAATACTTTCCCTCCTACTTCACTGACACATCATTTTTTAATAAAAAAAAAAAAACAAACCCAGAAGATATTTGTTGGAAAGCTTCAAGCTGTGTATGCTTTGTGAATCTAACTTCAACATCAGTCAGAGTAAAGGCAACATAACCAGGAAACATTTTGAGTTCTTTTCCATCAACTGATTTTTTGAAACAAAAAGAGGACTTGAGAACTCTTGATGGGCAAAAAGATTATTCCTATGCCTAATCCAAAAGATATGCATGGCTGGATTACAAAAGAGTAAAAGAGAATACCTCAGAAGCTTCCTGAAGCTCCTATCACCCTTGATGCTGATTCCTTTCCTTAATCCTGGGATGCTGCTTATAATTTCCCACTATCCTTCCCCTTAAGAATTTATAATTGAGTTTGTATACTAAAGCAGTATTGCCTTTGGCAGAGGAGTTAAGAGTTTGCTAAGGAGATTTTTCAAGATTATTTTGGTTCCTTTGTTAGAGCAATTGCTTTGCATCAGTGCAAATTTTCTGTATGAAAATGTATTAATCAGCATCAGTGTCCTTTCCTCTATCCATTTCCACTCTTTTGGCAACAATAACTTAAGTAAGTTAAGTTGAGTAAAGTTGTTTTCATTGCATGCAATATCTTTTTTTTCCCTCACTTTCAGTTTATCTTCTAGCTTTGGATTAATTTTTTATCTTAGCTCTACCAAGTGAGTGTACTGACTGTATAGTAAAGCAGCTAAATTAGGAATGACCCAATCAGTAATGAGTCAGTCCCTAACTTAAAAAATAACTAATTTCAATTTATTCAAAGCATTAGCACTAATGTAGAAATGAGCTTCCTAAATAACAATAGCTTTCTTGCAAATATATCTTGAACTTACATCGTAAATTTGGCAAACTTTATTTCTAATTCCATAGCTCTTGGATATCCAAGGTAGTTCTTCAGATTAATTTACCCCAGAAGAAAAGAGTTGAGCTACTCAGTAGATAGCTTTCTCCTATCCATAAAGGTAATACATTGCAAAAAGGCAATCAAAGCTCTCATATATTCAAACCTATATATTACCAATACATTTCTGTCTTCTCCCCTCATTAAAATGTAAGCTCTTTGAGAACAGGAACTGTCTCATTTGCTTATATTTATGTCCTCAGCATTTAGCATAGCACCTGGCACATAGTAAGCACTTAATAAAAAGACCTTTTATCTAATGCTTTAAAGTTTGAAAAGAATTTTACATAAATTATCTCATTTTATGTGAGCTACAACCCTATGAAGTAGGTACTACAGATATTATCTCCATTTTACAGATGCAGAAACTGAGTCTCAGAAAAGTTAAGTGATTTGCCCATAGTCACAGAGCTAATAAATGTAAGAGGCAGACTTTGAACCCAGGTCTAATCTATTCCAACATTCTATCCACTATGTCGCTGTGCCTCTCTTATGTTATAACATCATAAATTATTAATGGGCTCCAGTTGTACCAATTAACCAACCCCACACCCGATCTCACAGCAGAGTTTCAGATCCTCTGTGCTGTGGTTCTCACTGACCTAGGAACCCTTTGATGTGTGCAATTTACCTCACCGATATATGCTTACATGACCCAGGGTTAATCCTTTGGTAGAAATAAGGAGCTCCACCCGACCATTTTCCACATTTTGTAAACACATGTCCAAAGAAAGCATCTTTGTCTTAACTCAATGCTATGGTTGCAAAGGAGATCTGTTTACCTCCCCTTTGAGGAATATGGTTTAGTGTAGGTGGGGGTAGACATCTCATCATCCTGCCGGTGTAGGGGCAGGGAGAGAGTGAGGATTGTCTCTCTGAAGCAGGATTGCTTATCCACTTAAACCACAGGCCATGGTTTGGCTCATGCTGTTCCATATCGAATTGCTTTGTATCCTTGTCTCAAGTGCCCCTGGAATTGGACGCAGGATTTGAGAAGGACACTTTCTCTGCTGATTCTATTTGCGTGATCTAAAGACAAGAATCTAGTATGAGTTTCTGGAAACTGAACTGCCAAAATTTTCAGGCCTGGTGATCGAGTTAACAGTAGAAGACCAGGCAAGTCAATCAACATAAAGTTTTGTTATAATTTTACTTGGAGTAAAAAGTTTCATTCCATATTTATTTTCTTTGCCTTATGGATAAATAAAGTGCACTGTCTTGCTCGATGCAGCTTGATCCATTGAAATGTTGTTGTTGTTGTTCAGTTCTTTTCATTCGTGTCCAATTCTTCATGACCCCATTTGGGGTTTTCTTGGCAAAGATACTAGAGTGGTTTGCCATTTTGTTTTTCAACTCATTTTACAGATGAGGAAACTGAGGCAAACAGAGTTAAGTGACTTGCCCAGTGTCACACAGTTAGTAAGTGTCTGAGGGTGAATTTGAACTCAGGTCTTCCTGACTCTAGACCCAATGCTCTAGCCAATGGTGCCATCTAGCTTCCTCTACTTTGAGATATTAGGTATTCTTAAATTCCAGAAG